GAGTTTGGTACTGACAGATGTACATTGTACGAAGTCAGCTACGCCATACGTTCAAAAACATTTGCGCATCGAGTAGTAACTAGAGATGTTTTATTTTTGATCGTACGTTAAATTGGTGCAAACTATTGATTTATCTGAATATCTTAGGCGAATAAGGAATTTTGTATTCAAGGTTGAGTGAAATCATTCTTCTTGAATGTAAACAACGACTGTGGGTGTTTTTAGGAAAATTCTGACAATTGCATGTGTTTCCCTGTCTTCGGTAACATCAGTTAACACAATGTTTACTTAATTACTGCTAGAGTCCCCTGCTGTTTCAAAAATAGCCATAATCGGTAAATGTAATTATTAATGTAACACATATGGAACAAAAGTTTATAAAATAATGGCACTGCTGTGAAGAAAATTTTATCATCTGCGTTCTTAAGAAACGTTGTATAAATAATTTAATTTTGGTAGGTAACTGACATTTGTCTGTTGTCACCCAAGTAAAATTTTTTGCCCATTTTCTTGGGTAAATATCTTACTTGTTTGAAGCTACTAAGTAAAGGAATTGGCCTTGAATTTATAAATCATATTGATTTATAAATTCATTAACTTCAACAAGGTACTTTGAGCTCAATAAAGTTGTTTTTGTGGCGGAAGAAACGCATCTACAAAACTGTTTTTTTTTTTTGTAATTTGGTTATTTGAAGAAAAAGGAAAGCTAGTCGGTGAATATTCTAATTTTCTTTATTTTCTTTAACAAACGAACAATTATTATAAACATTTATGTTCATAACAGTTTTCTGCAGCTGTAATTTTAAACGAAGGTCAATTTTCAAGACTTTTCAAGATAACTGAATATTTTTCTCAATTATGGTACTGGACCTAGTAATACTGAGTATATACATACATATACTGAGTATTGCACTAGTATCGGTTGTGGTGCTCCCAGTACTTCAACAACGGTTTTATGCTTTCACATTGCTTTGAAGAAAAACTCGGACTGATGAGTCGAAAGTATTCAAGCAATTTCAATTTTCTTTGTAAAGAAGCCTCTACATACCCCTCTGCTACTATCGACGGTTTCCAACCCCCATGACGCTTAATATTTAATATACCACCGCCACGATTGGCAAGATATGATGCAGAAAAGCGTCTGAAAAAATGTCCACAGAACAGTTCAGGATAAGGAAGATTTACAAAAATAACTAAATAGGTATCATCCTCGGCATTTGACCTATTTTATTTATCCAATAGGTTGTACTGTACAATGTCCATTGTGGTCATTTAAAAAAAAACCGTTGGCAGCTTGTGTGGTTTAGCATATTTACTTCGAATTTTAGTGTATTTGTTTTAGTTTTAGAAATAGTGATTATGTCTAATTTATATCATTGTAATCTGCACACATACTGGTAAGCTCTTCACGCTTGAAAGTTTCACAATATACCTACTACAATTAATGCAACCTAAAATAAAACATCTGACTTATTTAACATACCTTTGTTACAAAATATGTTTTGTCAAGGGATTCCTTAATAAATTTCTTTAGACCAACTGTATCTATCTAAAATTTTAGGTTACTTCGGCTGATAGCCTTGCAAAAATCTTTTGATTGAGTCCATTAAATTTTGCTATACCTATCAGTGTTTCGTTTGATATTTAACATCGTACGAAACATAGAATAACTTATCCAAAGTGTTGAAATTTTCTTGGTTTTGCCCAAAGTCTCAAAGTACGCTATCAATACATTTTCATTTTCATTTTCAGTAAGAATGTTCACATTGTTTTGTGAGCAGCAGTTTGAAAATTTTTGATATTCTTTTTCATAAGTAAACTTTGACTTCGCGAGCACTAACGTGTCGGAGCCACTGGCAGCAATTTTACGTAGTTCTGAATGAGTGTACTGTATTCTTGATCATCACTCCTTTTCATACCTACGTTTACTTGTTTCCTCTCCCTCACCATTCATTTTTCGTAGCCTATATCTTTACTGCTTCGAAGTATATTAATGAACTTTTAAATTGTGCACAAACCACAAAAACAAAACAATCAAAAACACTTACAGGAACTGCGTCCTCCATGGCTGCCCATTCAGGCTGTTAAAATAAAAATTTGTTTTGATGATTTTTTTTAATAAAAACGTAAAATTTCCTCAATAGAAAAAACAGTATAAAAAACTTGTTTATAAGGTCATACTCGTTCTTTATAAAACTCTCCGCTTATGTGATAATAATGGATCTTATAAAACATGTTTTCAACAAATTATGAGTTTTTTAATCAACATTACTTGTGCATTTTTTTTAAGTGTTCACAGGGATTCTCATCATGTTAAATTTTAGATCGCATGTTAACTTTTGTCACGTTAATTACTGCGATTATTGTTTTACAATCACGATGTTTTGTGCACTAAATCAACCATCTCATGCTTTCAAAAGAACGGTGTTCGGTGGGTGGATATAACATTACATAAAAGTAGTATTATCTCTATGAATACAGTGTTTTTTTTTTAAATTTTGTATATATTAACCCTTTTCTGATTCCAATGTGAGGGGACAAGTGTTATTTTGGTAACGTACTTTGAGTAGGTATAGCAAGAGGCACTAATGCGTTTCCTTTAAAAACTTTTTTTTTTCTTCCTTAACGTACAAAATAAAATTCATTTGTTCTCTGCTGCAAATATAAGCCATTAATTAATTCATTATACAAGAGCGGATTAGCAGACCACAAATTTAGAAGCACTTTTTTTTATAAAGTTAAATATTAATTTACTTATCAAATTGGGGATAATTCCACAAATTGTGATTAGCGTTTTACCTACCACCTACATGATATTTCTAAAATGCACTTAAAATTTCATAAGAATCCGCAGTAGTTTCAGAAATTATCTGCTTAACAAAATTTTCAACAGGCGACAGAGAAATGAAAATGGGAGACCTACATTTTCATATTCTATGAGCTACGAGATTTCGGGAAAACATAAAATTCCATTCGTCAAATGGGCCCTATTACATTATACTTAGGTATATGTAATAGGTATTTCTCGAGTTTGCGCTTGGGAGGCAAAACGTGTTTTAAAATGTAAAACCACGTTTGGTTGTGTATATTAACAAAAGTATTTCCACCATCAATATGCTATGTAACGGGTGATTAATACTGATTGTAATCAAGTCATCTATATGACAACGTAAACGTATGTTCTTACCTTAAATGTCAGGGATAATTATGGGACCTAAAATAACTGTTCTTTTAATGAATCAGACGTTGTGAATATAATTTTAAAAATTAAAGTGTTTTGTTTGTAAATGTCACAGAATAAATGAAATTCGAGCTTCATAATAGTCACCATTTTTTAATTTTATCTATCATTTAATTTGATGTGATTTGATTTGTACCAGTCTATCAAAGACATGCATATTAAAAATCAAAGCTGACTCGATTACAATCAATAGGTATTGATCACCCGTTGTTTATTTGGTCTTTCGTTGCATTATGAAGATATTTTTAAGTGTTTGGTAGTTATCGTAAACGCAGTAGGTAGGTACTACAACCCAGTTTTTAATTAGTAGGTTAGTATAATTTTTGTCCTGTCAGCACTATAGTTCAAACTTGACATCAAGTGACATACTTCTTCGTAATGTGTTCGCTTGTTGACTTCCTGCAAATAAATCACCGATAATATATTAAAGAATGAAGATAACTTGAAATTTGAAATTTAGTCGATGTATTTTTATAATTGTATAGGGCCAATTCTGAATCAAACCTGTTAAAATTTAAAGGTTGTTAAAAAATAAACAGCCAATCAGATTTACGAATTTAACTCGTTACTATGGAAATTTGCATTTTAACACCCTTTAAATTTAACAAGTTTGATTCAGAATTGCCTCTTATATCTATTTATTTAAAACAATGTTGTTAAAGAAGGAGTAGCTTAGAAGAGCTATGTATATTACCAAATTCTACGATTAAAAAAAATCTGTAACTGTGATTTTTACTAATAAATTGTACCTAAAATTGTGATTGAAAAATGCTATATCGGTGATTTTTTTTTTAAATACAAGCAGCGTAATGTTATAAATTGCACGTACCTAATTCTCATACCTCATTTTGCCTCAGTTGGTGGTAATAAAATGATATTTAAATGAATACCTAATATGTATTATCAATCTTGTGAAAGGTAAATGAAGACATATTCTCGATTAAAAAGTTCATTAGTTGTTAGTTAGAATGCATCCCTCAAAAAATGTTAAAGAATTATCGCAAAATGCATGTTTCTATCCTGTTTGGCAATATGGACTTAAACAAATTTAATGCACGTATCTACATAAATAATTGTCGGTGGTATAATATATACCTACGTATATAATTATGAAATGTTGTTCGCATTATCCCACTACACCGGTTTTATTGCAGTACCTCATCATTTCGTCATTTAGGTATAAGTATAGTATGTAGATATCGCCGTTTGAGCGTTGAAGGGATTTCTTCAACGTGTGAAAAACGCTTATGAATGAGTGCACAAAATGCCAACGTGCAACATTTTCTAGATTTTGGAAGTAGGTACTTCCCTATTTTTCATGAATACCAAAGAATATACATTGATATCTATCTCATCATCTTTGGATGCACCATTTTTAGTTCGAATTATATAAAGCACCATATTTGGTTTATAACATCCAGTATAGTTCGTAATGTTAAATTCGTTATTAAATTTGAATTTCAGTAGTTTATCTTTCAGAATACAATAGAGGTTATGTTTAATGATGAAATACTTTGCATACATGTGGTTCTTCATGGATAAGAGTTGCACATCTGCCCCTTTCAGTATATAAATCAATGGGTAAAGTCTCTATAATAAAGATGATCAAAACACCAATGAAGTAGGGTCTTCCTACGTCTCAGTTTCCTGAGAGAGATACCACAGGCTGAACAAAGGCGGTGCCTGTGTTTAGGAGTGGGGAGTTCGTCAAGCCCCTGAATAAACCAGGTTATCCCTACTCCACTCAGTGTGGTGTGAAACTTATGTGTGAGTAAGATCTGAAAAGTATCCGTCGGTTATCGTTTTACGCATTGTTTAAACACAGATAAATCAACATACTAAATATAAGCCGTTTAATGCCAATCAGAAACGTGAGGAGCCAGAACTTGTTGATTCTCAACTGTGTTTGATTATTGTGTAGTGAAAAACAGGCGTGGATTTATTATGGTGTTCGTAGTGTAAATGATCTGGATTTAATTTTTTTATTTAAGTTTGTTTTATCGTGTTTGTTTAAAATAGTTATTGTAAATAAATAAACACTGCTGCAATTATTATGTTGGTGTTGTGGTGCTGAACTGTGAATTTTTGTTGATCGGATCCCCGTTTCATCAACCATGAATGAATTACCAGAAGCGCTGAATTTTGCAGGGCGGCCAATGCATTCTGCACATATTATGTCAACCGTAAGTAACAAATAAAATTTCCTCTATAGGTATTTATAATTAAGTATATCAATAAATTTGCAAAAATGATGTAGTTCAACCAAAAAATGCATACATAGTATGTTGAGAGTAAGCATCCGGCATTTTGTGGTACTTAGTTGCTAATTTTATGATTGGCGTATTGCAAAGATGAAACTCTCGTGGAGCATTCGTAACGAATAATTTATTTGTAAGTGTTTTTAATAAGCATTTTAAATTGATGTACATTTTAAGGAAGTGGTTAGATACTATGTGCAATTCTTCGAGCGTATCCGACGATTCGGCTTGAAATTTCACTATAAATTATGTACATAACACGTGTATTTATAGTGTGTAATTACTTCATTTAAAATATACAAAAATGAATTTTTCGAATTATAAATTGTTCAACCGTAAGGCTTTCTTAAGGTTTGTTCATAATTATAAATCAAGCAGCAGACTCATTATATTCTCAAAACACAAATGGTCAACATGATAAACATCCTATTACATACCAGAATAGATGGGTATGTTGCAGAGTGTATCTACCAAAAATGATTAGTATGTGTCAGATATAAATTAAAAGTTTAACTATTTGGTCGAACACATTAACAGTGTACTTTTTTGTAGGTTTTTATTTTTATTTTATTTAAAAGTACGTATTTTACTAATTTTTAAAATGGATACATGTTATGTTTTTCACTGTAATGGTCGGGTACCCTTTTTATTTTTTCAACCTAATAGATCAACAGGTGGTGGTTTTCTAATTTCTGTACATATAAATACCCTAAACATTGTTTTACTTGTTTACCCGTTACATGCAGTATTTTCAAGTTTCAGTTTTATATTTTTTTTAAATACACCGGAACTTCAATAACAGATTTTGTCGGGATTATTTTATTCGCATTTATTAAAACCAGTAACGTAGATAATGTAGTGCTAAAATAAAAAATATATATATATATTTATCTATCCAGCATACTTTCTGTTAGTTAGTTTGAATAATTTTTGTTAATACTCTCTTTGAAATAACTCAAAATTAGTCTACAGTTATATACACTGATCTTCGCCTCGCCGCTAAAGCACAATATGTTGGGTATGAGTAGACTTTCTTAGGTAAATTATATATAAAATCTTATTGTGCAAATTCAATTTTAAGTTTAAAGCAAGATTTAATTTGGGAAGTTTTGAAGTGACGTTACATTTTTGGAAGCGATAAAAGATTGATTTACCATGTTCACAGTACCCATCAAGCGGCTGCGAAATCCCAAGGCTAATGGTTCTGTAATTCTAAAATAAACTGTAAAATTTATAAAGTGTGGACTAGCAAACGACAGGTATATTTGCACATTATTTGATACACTTAAAATAAAATTTACTAGATTTTGTTTACTGTTTTACGATACAAGTAATCCTACGTTATACCCATACTTACATTGTAGGATTCTATCCAGTAGTTTTAAAGATTGCGTATCTTAACAGATCTCGAACAATTGCCAGACGGCAAACAGACGGCAGCGATAGACCTATTTTTCATAATCAAAGGACTGTGAAACACCGAGAAAATATAACATTATTACCAAGGTTATCTTGCCCTGTTCGAAAATATGTATATACTTACATGTATATACAAGGAAAGACTTGGGCAGACTCTAGTGTGGCCAAGAACGTTTATATAAACACTGTCCTCTCCTTCCTCGTCAGTTTAGTTGAATTTTCAGTATCGTGCTTTTTAGGTTAATTTTCAAGAAATTTTGATACATGGAATTTCAAAAATGTAATAACAGAATTTGGAACCAATATTAACCGTTTTTAAGAATGTTATTTAATGCATCACGTAGAATATATTTCACTTCCAAATCAAATTTAATAAGGATGGAAGTCTATAACTCATGAAGTTTATAGAAAATAAACTAAAATTGTCCTCGACTTGTTTGGAAGTTTGTATTAGTGTCCATTTTACACCAGCAATAAGTCTTTCCTTGTCCTTGATATAACATTATTTGACGTTGAACAGAACTATGACAATATTAAGCCACAAGTTTTTTCGTCCGATTAACCACATTGTCAAAATTATTTTTTCCATCCATCCAGAAAATTATGTAGACTTACTGATGATTAAGACCGTTTTCTAATTTTTTGACCGAATTGTTTTGTTTTTACTTCATCATCAGCAGGTAAGGAAGGCAAGGATGATAATGTGGTCATTTTAACGGGTGTTGGACTGTTGGATTTCATTTATTGACAACCTGTCGAATACGATAATATAGGTGTAGATGTTGGTTGTTGCTGATTTTGCTAAACTTGTTGAAAACTACCGCAATTCTGAAGACAGTAAAACATTAACCAACATTTATTTGCCGATTCGCTTCAGGAAGTTGATGATATATCATCTCAAACTATTGTTAACTAAGTAAATTTTTATTTTAAATGCAGATTTAGTTTAACATTATATAGTCTATATAGTAACCTTAATTTTAGTCGTATAGTGTGACCAAAAACCTTGTTGGAGACCTTGTTGATATAGATACTATAACATTAAATATACTAAATTAAGGATTGCAACATATTAATCAAATTATATTATTCATCACTCTGAAGTATCGTATTGTTATGTAGTGTTTTAGTAAAATGTCATTATTTTAGTCGATTTATCGATACAGAAGGTTAAAAACGAAACATGTTGGTTCTAATTCCCCAAAAAATTTTGACGTACCTACATAACGTTGTTAGTGTTACCGACATAGTTATATATAATAAAATATGTAGGACTAGAAACATTCTTACTTTTTATATAAACGGTATATATGCAGTTAAAAAAAATAGTTTTGGGTATATCCTTATTTTATAGCATTTTTAGTAGTCTTATCGTTTTATTTACAGACGTTCCTGACTAAAAACCGTGTCTTACATTTACGGAAGTACTTATTTTGTTAAGAAATCATGGAAGTCAGTATTTTCAGTATGTTCCATTAACATATTCTTATGAGGGAATTTTTAAATGCAGGTATTTATTTTTAAAAATATGCTTAAATACTAATTTTTTCAACTTTCAGATCTTGTAAAGTAAACGGTACAAATCATTCGTTTAAGATGAAATATTGTCAGGTTAGTCTACAAAATCATTTTATTTCCAAAGTTGAATAAATTAACTAGTGTGTTATAAAAGTTATGTCAACAAAGTATTTATGACTTTGACCACCACGAAATAACGCCACATTTTACTTTCTCCCTCATATGTATCAAAATAGAGCAAATAAGGATACGTAAATACCTACTCTGTTGTTTCCTGTAAGTTTACGTTATGTTTGTGTGATACTTACAAAAATTATTTCATTGTTTATTGGATTTGTTAACACTCTTACGAGTTCGGTCTTTGTAATTAGCATTTAATTTTTCAAATAATTTCTGCATTGTTCTTGTATATTTCAATGGGCTACTATTTGGTATCAGCACATAAAAATATAATAATGCCGAGTTAATTGTGTTTCGGTTAATAAAAAGTAATTAATGAAAATCTGGAATTGGAGTGTGCATTCAAACAAAACAACATAATTACGGTTATAGAATGAATTATACTTGTTAAATATGTATTACCAGATAGGTCTTACCAAGTTAGGGTAATTAAATAAAATACACAAAAAATTGAAGTGACAGTGGATGAGATGAAAATATGATGATTGAAAAAAATGAGAAAAAACTGGAACATTTTGCATTGAACGAAATGACAGATATGTGCTTCTTTTCCTATTTTACCTTTAATGCAAGTAAAAAATCATTTAAACAATAACTGGATCACAATTATGTAGAACCTGGGTAACAATAAGCAATTTGTGTTATCAATATTGTTAACTTTGCAGTAGACCACCTGAAAATATTGAACACGAAGAGTTTTTTTTCTTGCAACGCACGTAGATGATACACACGGTATCAACAAACGTATGTCTCTTATTAAGAAGGTGGTCAATTTTGCTTTAATTGTAATGGTAATTGCGTAGTGGATTAGAGTTTCAATTTACACGAGAATAGATGCAAATAGGGAAATATAAAATAACGTACCCTGTTATGTAATGAAACCTTTTTGTAAAAAATTGGTCTAAAGAGTTTAGACAGTACTTCCCTCGCTGTCGGAAACTTGACGACTGCATGGCTATTGTGTTTTTTTCTCATTACATTTTTGTAGTGGGAATTTTAAAAAAATTTGCAATGACGTCATCAACATTTTTGCAAGGACACGTATATCAGTTGGGATAGATGTAGTGTAATACTAAGAATAAAATTATTGTATTCCCAAATTTTCGGGAAAATGAATTGGGTCGTTTGGAATATTGATTTTTTATAATCAATAAAATAACGAAACAATTTACTCGCGTATACGGCAACTGAAAATCGTTTATGTATAAACATTCTTAATTTAAGATGACAAGCGTAACAGCATACGTGAAAGTCAAACAGAGAAACTGTAAACAAAACGACCATCGGTTTTATTGCTTCGACTTCCGCTTATTATATAAAACATTGGGTTTTATTTTAATTCTTGACGGTGAAATTCACAATTGGTTGATTATAAACATGTCTATTTCACATTCGCGGAATCAAGTGATCGCATAAAACAAATGCAGGTCTGTAATGTTAAAGTCGATGTAAATAAGCGATGCTACCCTTATGTTTCAACCGAGTTTTTCCTTTAACAAATTTTGTGTCTACCAAATTGGGTTGGTTGGGGTGTAATACTAATAATAAGTGTTGCCTTTAATTTAATCAATAAAATAAATTGACTTCATTAATTTTTTTGAACCACCTCTTAAGAAAATCTAAAAAATATGAATGGAATGATAAATCACAAGTACAAACTCATCATATTTTTTGCATTTTAGATAGGATTTATTCAGCAAAATTTAAGGGTGACGTCATCAATTTTTTTAGGAGGGATGAACAAATACATTTTGAACAAAAGTTTACCATGCTTATAATAACATTAAAATATTCCCAAGATTTCAAAG